AAATGCTTCGCAGAGGGCTTACAGACGCAAGCTGACTCCTTGCCTCTACCTGGGCTGCTAGATGTAAAGAACAAGGTAGATTAGCATCTAAACTGCACCCAGAGGATTATGCTGATTTCTTCTAGTCCATTAAAGATAATAAAGCCTCCAAAAACCATTAATGCCTTTCAAAAACAAAACAAACAAACAAAAAATACATAGACCCAATTGGAGCAATATTTTTCCAGTCTTTTTCACCTGTTTAAAAGCTTGAATACAAGCACTTTGAGGCACTAAACAAAACAAACCACCAGGTAGTAGAAATCATAGATGTATCATCACAATTCACAAGTGAGAAAATAAATGCACTGATGACTTGCTGAAGGTCCCATGTAAAGGTTTCAGTTCCACATCAAGGCCAGTGAGACCTGTGTGGCACAACACCAAATGCCTTGTTTGATTATAATGCCTGCTCCTGCCTCATAAGGATATAGTGGAGATCTTTAATGAACCAAACCCTACCGTGACACTGCTGTTCAAGGAGGGGGCACCATCTGTGCAAGGACCTGGAGTTGTGTACTCCTGCCTGCAAACAGTGCCATAGGGTGGCTTGGGCCAGTCTAACCACAGCTGTCTTCCCCACCTCTGCAGCTAGCACAGGGCAGCCTTCTCTGAGATTGATGAGGACGAAGGGACTGATGAGGTAAAATGCAGTCTTGGGAAAAAGAAATGAAAAATAGCCACAGAAAGAGCATATAGCTTGAAGAGAGATTTAAGGGTTGTGTAGGAGAAAGGAAGAGGATGAGGGAGAAACCTGGGAAGTAAAATGTGAATTTATTTTATCAGGAAAATAAGTGGTGTTATATTGGGGAAGAGGAAAGTGCATCAGGAGAAAAACAGAGCTCAGAAGGACAAAAGGGAAATCAGAGAAGCTTTTAAAAAATGTCCATATACTCGCATTGCAGGTATTCACTTATACTTCTGCAAAATGGGAGCCAAGTGCACTGAGCAGCTTTGCAGACAAGGGAAGGACAATCTCCATCAAAAGAGCACTCAGACTCAGTCCCCCATAGAGGGAAATTAAACTGCAAGGGGTAAAAGAACATGAACCAGAGGAGAGTGCTGGGAGAGTGCACTGTGATTATCCAGTATTTGTGAACTGGCCTGGGATGTAATCAGCATCATAAAAGAGACCTTGGCTGGCAGAAGATAAAAATATTCTGGCCAAGAAGTTGTAGGCTAAGCAGGAAAGCATGGCAAGCAGAGGCCATATACCCTAAGCACAACCAAATTATCTTTCAGTTCATACATACACTCACATTTAATTAAGTTATGATATTGTCAAGCCTTTGGCATGCTGCCTGCTGCATAAACATTTCTGGCGTGGATGTTCTGTAATTCTATTACAGACTTAGTAATTCAAATGGAGGAGTAGGTAGGCATGAAACTACTTAGAAATTTCATCTGAAAGCCACCTATAGGTTACACAGAACGCCACAACTTGCCAAGGTGGAAGAATCTGAGAGCAATGTCTCCACTCACAGGAGCCACTGAGGCCTGTGCCTATCTCTTCAGTGCATCAGCAGTCCAACAGCAAAGTCTGTCTTGTATCAGCACAGCCACCCGTGAGCATCCCCCATGTACAAGAACAGCATCATCCGAGTTTGTAGAAGCTGCTGTTGGATTATTAGGTTTGTCACTGGTGGGATTCAATTATTTCTGTATTATTTGTGTAAGAGTAATGCAGAGAGGCTCCAGCTGAGACCAGGCCTCTGTTTTACTAAGTACTGGGAGACAGTTTCTTTCTCAAAGGGTGCATGCAGTTTCAGCTGACAAGATGAAGACAGGGGGAAAAAGAGGCATTTTGTTATGGTTGCACAGGCAGACTAATTCTCATTGGCACTTTTGCATTAGCAGGTGTCCAGTTAAAACATAACCATGTGGTATTTCTTGAATAAAATAGAAGCAAAGCCATCTTAGAACTGTACCATATCAAAAATAATACAAAATTACAGTAAAATTTATGTTAGAGGTACAGAAATGTTACATTTTAGAAGCTGGAGGAAAGGAGAAAAATATTTTACCACCAGAGTCTTGAGACTCCCTGATTCCTCCCTCCCAGCTACACCTTTGCCCTGTACTGTTTCTCACAGAAATACACATTTTGCTTTCCACTAAGGAAAAAATTTGGTGGCAGCAGATGGACAGACTGGAGTCTGATTTTAGCTTCTACAGTTCTTGGAACAACGGTTTTCACTGTGAAAGCTAACACCATAAACCACTCTCTGTGCAATCAGGTTTTAGCTGCCCTTATACTCAAGAAGTGAAGTTTCCTCCTCCGAAGACTTGTTTGATGCCAGCTCAGGTGCTGGATGGGCTTGCAGTCTTTGACCTGCCTTACTCCTCTTATCAATTTTCCCTGGCTACTCGGGCTGCCTTCTGAAATCAGAAGGAAGACCCTGCATACTGCCATGGCCCAACGTCTGTGTCCTGCACTAGATGTGAGATTCCTTAGGGTTGAGGAATCTTCCTGAGCAGCCACAGAAAAAGCCTTCCATCCACTGTGCCCTGGAATGGCAGAGTTCAGAAGAATTTAGAGCCAGATTGTGGTTAAAACTTGTGCTTGATCATTCTTTTACAAATAATGTTCTACAAACAGCAAAGGTAAGTTTGGGTATGTCTTATGGGATCTGTACTGCTAAGTGGTGGTGAAGTTGTAAGCAGCATTTCTGATATTGTGTCTTATAATAATAATGGAATTACCTTTTTAAAGCAGGACACAATAGTTATTTGGCTATGATATACTCACCAGATTTTCTAATTAATAGGTGTTTTGCTACCTGCCAACCTAAAAAGTCGTGATTCCTTTTCAGAAGCATTTGGTTTGAGAAACAGTTGCATTTAAATTAATCTTCTCTAGTCCTCTTGGAAACTTAAATATATTTAAAGCATGCACTGTAGTGATACCACAGATTCTCCTCCACCACACTGGATATCAACTAGGAAAGCATTTAAGATCTCTGGGATAAACTAAAGTAAGTTCAATGCAATCTTGTTTCTTCGGTTTCTGTTGTTAATTTGTCTTGTATGATTCACCAATCATAAAATGACACAGAACTGGGTATTTTACCATATATACTTTTTTTTCACCTTTTTTTGAATTCATTTATTTTTGATAAAAGATACCAACAAACACATTTTTATGCCTTAATCTGTTCCTTTTTCTATTTGTTCAAGGTACTGTTTTTAATTTTCCCCAACTGTCAGGCCTTAAATTGTGTCTTTCTTCAGCCAAACATATTTGTACCATTTTTAGTACCTGCTCTTGAAGCTGTTTTCTTACCTGTCCAGGCTACAGAGCTAATAAAGATAGAGTTAATTTCTAGGTCTTTTAAAGATGATCAAATGTGTACTTTATATGTGTATGTATATATATATATGCACATATATGTATATATGTATGTTTCTGTGCATATATATATCACATATCCATAGCAGCTACGATACTTGTCAGCGATGAACTTACTGTAGTCTGAGAACAAAAGAGTTAAAATCCATTGTGTGGCTGAAATGGATATATTTGCATAAACACACTAAAAATTTAATGTAGCTGCATTTTTTATTTTGTTTTTAAAAGCTGTTTGTACAAAGTTAACAGTTCAGTCAACTCTGTTGTCATGCCAAGAAACTAAACCAAACCCCATAACCATTCTATTAATCCCATTGTTTCAGAAGTCCCAGAGAATTTACTTTTATAAATAAATTAGATATATTTTAAAATTTCCAGCGTTTACAATGTTTCTTCATTATTGCAGCAGCTTTCACCTGGCATTATTTTGTCCCCTCTCTTCATTGAAGACTTATCTCAGAAGATAAACTTATTCTCCGATTACTTAGATGCATTTACATGACTGAAACTGTATAGCTCTATAGCCAGCGTATCTGACTTAAGCCAAATGAAAGCTATGTGCTTCAACTGCAATGAGCAGTTTGCTCTTGTCTCTTTTTATCCCGAACGGTGACTGAGAAACAGCGATCATTTCTGCAAGTAGGAGCTACCTGACTGCATAATTTAAATGCAAATAAATATCCTACTGTACTTTAGGGAAAACACCTTCAATTAACAAGGCCAGTCATTTAAAGATCCTAACAAGCAATTAGACTGAAACAATGATATCAGAAATATCTGCCTCTTTGTAATACATTATTTTTGCTCGCATGAGAATTTTAATTATGGTATAACCAAGCACATAGCTGAAGTACAACCTTTACCCACACAGAATTTCACCAAACAGAATTAATTCAATACATTTTCCTCGTGTTCTACAGGTAGCTAATGAACTGTAGATGACATAACTGTCAAGAGATTAACAAAATGCTTTTATGTAGGTAGTAAACACTGCATACTGGAAATCCTACTGTATTCAGTATGTGGTGTTGGAGCTGAATACATGCAGGAAAATTCCATTTTGCCTACAAAGAGTCCAGTGACCCCACTGAACAAGCTGCTCTCTGTGCCTCACAAATGCTCTCAGAGAGGATGAGGTGTACATTGCATGAACCACTGATACATGGGCTGAGAACCCACTCACCTGATGGCAGCCATGATAAATGACACAAAACAATGCTGCTGAAGCTGACAAAATGCATGATATTCACTTAAGCAGAAAATATTTTCAAGTTACTATGTTTCAGATTTTTGCCTGTGTACTGTTTCAAATGCAAACTCAAAGTAATTCTAATAGGTGGTCATTTAAATATATCAATCATTATGATGAAAAATAATAATACTTTTCGAACTACATATAGGTACTTATGCCTACCCAAACTGCAGAGAAAAACACGGGCATAACCTTAATTGAGAAATATCCTTACGTGTAAGATACTCTAATATGGTACATACATATATACATATATGGTGTATATATATATATATATATATATATATATATATATAAAAAACTCTACATGTAAATATATGTAATAAATTTATAAAACTCTTACATAACATTATAGATAATGTATTACATAATGTCTTACATACACAGCATCCTTTATGCATAACACAAAGATATATAAAACCTATAACTGTATTTATAAAGATCTTTTATATTTTTTGTCTTTTTATACTTCCTCCTTCCACTACAGTCCCTTCTGCACTGGTTATTAGGGTGCCCACCTACTATGCCTTAAAATCAAACCCAGCAGTTCATTAGCCATAAGCAGAAATTGCAAACACTGATGAAAGCATCCATTAGCATATTCATGGCACAGAAGCAGTGGAAGGACTTAAGAGATTTAATTAGCTATGGATGGTCAACTCAGGATGTCTGGTGACAGTCATAATTTGGTGAAATGCCACTTAAAACACATTTTTTTTCTGCTGTGAATTTCAACATCATAATGCTAACACAAGTTTAACACTCTCCATTAATATTTCTTTGGAGCAAGTCTAAACAGGGAAGATGTTTCCTTTGAATTCTGTAATCTTGAAAACAGTTTAAAATATTTTAGAAACTCATAATGGCTTTGAAAAACTTCAGTACCTCCTGTGAAATTGATCTAAAGCTATAGGAAACTGCCTACCAATTTCTGTTGTAGTCATAGTGATTAAAGTAATTCCAAGGTGCTTCTCCCATGTGAGTTTAAATACATTCCTGTGGCATTTTTCCAAAACATGCCAATCCCATGAAGTTTATGAAAGAGATCAGTACTCAGATCAATTTTCCATTGCCAAAGATACAGTTTTCTCAATAAGAAAGCCATCATTAATGGTTATGATTCAAATCCCACTCTCAATTTAGTATATCAGGTCTAACCCTTAGCCATTGTAAATCTGTGTAGGTGCAACCCCCCAGAAAATAAATTGGTGCTATGCTAATTTACTCTGAGCGACAGATAGTTAAAAAATGGAAAGAAAACAAATGGAGAAAAAAATAATAAAAAAAAAGTTATTTTCTGTACCTTTCCAAAAGGCGAAGAAAGATGCATTATGATGGTATGAATGCCAGGATACAAGACTATAAGGAGTGATGCACATCTGAGTAGCTTAACAATGAGGCCATGGGCACAGCCGGGCACCCAGGAGGCTCCCTCTGAGCACCAGGCAGCACTGCCGTGCTCGGCAGGTGATGGAGCCCTGGCACAGGCTGCCCAGAGAGGCTGTGGGGTCTCCTCCTTGGGGATCTCCCAAGGCTACCTGGATGTGGCCTGCTCTGGGTGTTCCTGCTTGAGCAGGGGTTGGACCAGGTGGCCTTCAGAGGGCCCCTCCCACCTCAGCTGTTGTGTGATTCTGTACGATTCTGTTGCAAAAGCTTCCCCAAACTTGATGCTTCTAGCTAACATCACTAGATGTAGTGAAAAAAAATTAAAATTAATTATTTGTCATGCAACTGGGAGTTTAATATTCAGTGACATTAAGTAAGTTCAATGCAGTTCAAGAAACAATGAGGCAACTTAAAAGCCTTTACAACAGAAACATGCACTCTCCACCTCTGACCGAAACGGGACCAGGTTGAACAACTGCATAACAGCTGCAGCAGGCTGCAGGAAGTGCTGCGCTGTCAGAATCATGCTGCTGCTGCTCTATTTGTGTGAGAATATCTGAGAAGCACTGTGCGACCCCAGCCTTTGCCATCCCTTGGCACTGCTGTACCAACGGAAAGAGCATAAGTGTGCCCTACCTGGGCAGCGAACAGAATCCTGACACACAGGATCGGGCAGAGGTATGGGAAAGCGGCCAGCCTGTATGAGAATTTGAGGGCAGTCCAGGTTCCTGCATTCTGTCTGTTATCAGATTCCCTTGGATAAATTGGATGTGAATGGTCACTTGAGTGAAATTCAGACTATTTCAAGATTAAAGGAAAGCAATTTTTTAGAACACTGAACCAAGGCTGGAAACCTTAAACTACTGTGACAACAGAAATTCACTAGTTTAAGAATCTAAGCAGGAACTTCAGAAGTGTGTAAGATGAATACTATTATTTAACCTTGAGGGGAAGGGAAGAAAAAAAAAAAAAGGAAACAAATATTTAAATTATTGACTGAAAAACTGATTGAAATAACTTCAGATGCTTTGAGACCTTAGAACAAAGTAGAACTAAAAACTTCTCTTTGTGAGTTAAAAGCTAGCATGAATACACTTTCATCTTGTTTTTCATATTTATTTTCCCTCTTCATTTACAGTCTTAATGTATAATTCATTTAACCATCTTTTCTATTATCTTGCTAGGGGGATATTGCACCAAAGCACGCATAATGATACCACAATATATCAGCTCAGGGTCAACCCGCTGTCAGCAGGAATTTTCAGCGTGCTGAGAGCGGCCGATTGAAAACTGCTGCAGCAAAGGTCCCTTGGCAGATGTTGGAGGGGCTGCGGGACCGAGGGCACAGCGTCAGCCAAGCCAACAGATGAGGAAACAGGATGGAGCTGATACATCAGCTTATTCATGAGCTTTACAAACAAGGGTAAATCTAACCTCAGTGTGGTTGCTGTTGGTAAGTCCTCAAAACCCAACTCAATCAAAACCTCAGTGCTGTTATGGTGGCTACTGGGCAGGTTCTCGTAACACCTTGCCATATGGCAGCACTCCTTTGCTGCTTTGAAAAGGAGAAATAAAGGTATCTGGGTACCTCTAAATGTTCGAGGATCAAAGATGCATTTCAACTAAAATATGCATTATTTACTGTTTACATCACTTATAAATCCAAAGTGTTTTGTGTGTGTGTGAGAGAGAGAGAGAGAGAGAGAGAGAATGAGGTTCTGCTACAAGAACCTTTGTGTTCCACAGCACAGCTTCAAACAAAATTCTTCAGAAATTTTCTTACAGGTATTAATAAGTGCCACTATGCAACACTGTGGCCTGTTTTCTTTGAAAATATGTATCTTCCTACATGTCTTAAATATCACATTATTTTTGCAATTTAGACCGAATGACTCTCTCTAATGTAGAATACAATAATGTTACGTTATAGTTTATGTCAAGAAACTAGGTTGAACTTCATTAAATTAAAATTGCAGGGGAAAAAAACAAAAACAAAAACAAACAGCAAAAAATAAAAATCAGGGAGTATCTTTGTCCTAGAAAAGACTTGAACACACCCAGTATTACAAGAATGCCACAGCAGGGACAATTAGTCCAGATGCAAGCAGTTTTGTGTTCCCACAAATTGTTTCAGAAATAACAAGGGTATTAGACAAGTGTTTCAGTAATCCCACATGTCTGGATCTAAAAAACAGCAAGAGAAAAAAAAATAACTCAGAAATGTAGAGCCATAAATAGACAACACAAGATCAGAACACAACCATAAAATGCATTTTTTAATTCCATGAATAAATTAAACTCCATCTTAGCAGAAACAGGAATTATACTGTATATCTTGGAGTAATAAAATAAAAAAAAAACGTAGAGACAGCACAAGAAGATACCACAACACATTACAAAAAATGATTTAACAAAATAATTGTTAGCTCTTTTGAGAATAATTCAGAATAGATTTTCATACCAACATTTTTGATACAGTGTACAACAATCTAAAATATCTGTACATGGAAGGAACATGCCCAGAAGCACACATACAGGACACTACCATATCCAGTAACAGGTAGATTTAGGCAGCAGTTAAGGAAGAAAAGTCTGAAACACTGTTTTAGGCTTATTTGTACCAATTTTGTCCAAACACTGCTCATCTTCTTTGTCAACTGTAGAGCTATGGTCATGTAATGCTCCGCAGAAGGTAAGTTATACTCTCTTGAGGATCTGCCTATTCCTTCCTATCTTGCTATCTTGCTTTTCTTTGTAGACCATGGTTTTATTGCAATGTTTTGGGTAAAGATGATAGTTTGAATGCAAATTGTTGCCTGTGCATTTTCGGGAACATAAATTACAATCATACATAAATTACAATCATATTTATACTACTTCTGCTGATATGTCTACCATTTCTTGTTTGAGTAAGACCAGAGCAGCATTTGATTAACATCAGTGCAACTGATTCCATAATATAGTAACAAGATATGTTTTGCATAGGTTTACAGGTTTTGCGAACACCTGAGTGAATTCATATAATCTACTATTCAAAGCTGCATATTTTCACATCAAACGGCACCAGTCTCTTGTCATGTAACTGCAAAATTGTCTTGAAAACAGTTTTGACACTTCAAGTTCCTAAACCACTCGCAAGACAAGGGAGGCTGGACCCTCAACTCTGCTCGGAGCAGAGTGAGGAATCTCCCCCTTGCTCCTGAATTGACCCTACACAACAGATAGGATGCTCTGGGGATGAAAAAAGGAGAGGGTGTCAATAACAACAGCAGTAATGGGCAAGACCCTGGAAAGGGCAACTGCAAAAAGGTGGACCAGCAAAGCACTTGTGTAAGAACCAGTGCCACAAAAAAGCAAGGAGGGTGCTGGTAATTGGATATCCCTCTCTGACAGGCACTGAGGTGCCCATTTGCCACCCAGACAATCTCTCGTGAGGTTTGCTGCCTGCCTGGGGCCTGCATTTGTGGCATCGCAAGGAAGCTACTGAGCTTGGGCAAGCCAGAGGACTATCAACTGTTCTTGTTCTTTCACCTAAGCAATTGTGCGCCATGGGGAATCGTACAGCCTTAGAAACAAAGAATATCCTGGGAACCTTCTGGCTTATTCTCAAAGAACAGGGAAAAACTGTGCCCTCTGCAGCCTTGCAGCAAATGCTTGTGTGGGCTACCATGAATGACCCCTCTATTACAAATCAGACAGTTTATGATCCTGAAACATGGGACCAAATTGGGGTCAAGCTTTTGGACTCTGCTACTAAAACAACAAGGTTGCAGCTGGATAGCTTGGCCTCTGGCCAGCAGTCTCTGAGGCCTTAAAGAGCCATGTGGTACCACAGTCAGAGAGAAACGTGGTTTGCCAGATAGTGAGGGAGCTGTGGGCTTGTCCACTGATCCACCTGCTACACCATCGGCCCACCCACTGCTACTGCCATTGCAGGCCTTTGCTGTTACACCCCCTGATGACCTGGGTAATCAAGAAAAGGAATGGGAAGTGGTGACTGTTACATGATTTGAGAAAAAAATAATGAAGTCATGGAAGATATGGGAGCAGTTCAATCAGGATTGCCATCTCCAGCTGTGCTCCCCCAGTCATGGATATTAATAGTAACAGACTTAAAGGACTGTTTGTTAAACATTTGCCAGAATTCAGAAAACTTAGCTATGTTTCAATTGATACCTTTTCTGCCTGTATTTTTGCATCTGTCCATGCAGGAGAAAAGAAAAAAGTCTGATGGTTGTGTGTGCGTGTTGGTAGAGCGTAGGCTCCCCACACACCCAGCACTGTTTACTTGCCTTTTATAAATATTACTAAATTCAGATTGAGTTGTATCTTCATTTTTTTACAAATTGGTGACTCCGACATGATCTTCTTGGATTTTGGATCTGCGACCGGTTAAGGTAGGCGCCCCACCTAGCGGCCCTTGCCGATAGCAGCGCTACAGTCCAATAAGATTTCGAACATAAAAGGCAAGTAAAGTACCAAGAGCTCTTCCTCCATGACCCCTAACTCTGACGAGTTATGTAACTCTGACGAGTTACATGACCCAAACGAAGAGGATTTGTGAGTATACCATTTGGTTGGGGCCGGATTTGGTTGTGTGACTGTGTGTAAGGGTGTGACTGAGATGGAACTTAGTTCCGAAGCGAGTGTGGAGGTCTTCTAACTGCGGTTCTGATCTCCCACAAGGGCTGGTGAAGGACTGAAGCGATTGCTCTAGGAATTCATGGGTGGGTTAACCACTTGCAAGACACCTCTAGACACAGGGACAGCCAGGGATTCGGAACCTCTTTAAGGGTTCCAGGGATTCAGAATTTTCCAGGCTGGGTCAGGAGAAAAGTAGACTCTCCGACCTGAGAGGCTCAAAGACCCTGGACATTCCACCAGAAAGCCTATTAGGGATAATGTTAAAATATTGGGATGATTGGGAATCAAGGAAATGAAAAGATAAAGAGAAAATGGCTGAATTTTGTATGATAAAATGGCCAAAGGAACCTTTAAGACCACATGTTTTTTGGCCAGTTTTCAGATCCTTTGAGGGTTGAGTATGTCAGGCATTGAACCTCTATGTTAACTCTAAGGAGCCTTTTAACCAAGAAGAAAGCGATTACGGGGCTCTATGGATAGAAGCCTCAAACGCATTTCCCCCAACCCAAATATTTGCTTTAAATACTAGAACTGACAGGGGAAAGGAAAAAATGGGAGTCTCTGGGTAATATACCCCCTCCCTATTCACAGCAACTGGAACCACCACCTGTTGAAAGTTGATTGCCCCTGTTCCCTCTCCCTCTCCTCCTGCATGGACTAGAAATACATGTAAGATAAGAGCCACAGAAAGGGAGGAAAGTGAAACACAAGGTTGGACTGACAATTTAGGAGGTCTTTACCCTTTGAGGGAGGTACCCCTTGGGGGGAGTCAGAGGGGGATAGGGTTTGTAGTGGTTCCTTTGAACACGTTAGATGTAAGAAATTTTAAGAAGGAAATGGGATCAGGCAAGCAGGAATGAGACTGTGGGAAAGACAAAATCAGGAAGGTCCTCCAAGGGATGTGAAGTGGCCAAATACCAACCCTAATTAGGATCATCAGGCTGCTCAGGGGAGGCAAAACATGAGGGATCTTAGGACCATAATGATACTGAGAGAGGGAGTTAGGAGAATACAGTAATTCACTAACTTTTTAGAAAAGAACTAACTTTTTAGAAAAGGGGGACTGAGAGAGGGAGTTAGGGGAATCTTATCAAGTAGAGATAGAGTGTTGACGGCATGAAACTAGGATGCTACTTAGTGTGTTTGCTAACTGCGGTGCTTGTGCAAATTAATTAAAGCAAGAAGCCTTGGGCCCCTTACCAAGGTCAGTCTCCTGATAAGAATGTGAGCCTATCTTAAGAAACTGGTAGAAACTGGTCCTGCAGATGGACAAGAGCCAAGGAGCAACTGAGGCTATGCAAAGACAAGAGGTCTACTTAGTAGTGACAAGGAAGAGTTATCAATCTTCATCCCCACAACCCCTGTCAACCACCACCAGAATACACTGTGCAAGCACAGGTGGGAGGAATTTATGGAAATGACTCCTTGGAGCTAATTTTAATACAAAGTGGAGACAGGTTATGAATATGTATAAGTGTATTGTGAAACTTCATGCATATGTAACTCTTTACTGCATATAACCAAGGCAAGTTGCCGCGTCAGGTGCACACGACTTTGGTGGGACTACCCCCCATGCTGCCCAGCGCTGAATAAACGTACTGTAGTGGGTTTACGTGGCAAGGTTTTGGTAGCAGGGGGCCATAGGGGTGGTTTCTGTGAGAAGGATCTAGAAGCTGCCCCATGTTTGATAAGGGCCCCATTGTTTTCCAGAGCTGAGCCAATAAGAGATGTTGTTTTGCACCTCTGTGAGAGCGTATTTAAGACAGGAAAAAAATGCCAGAGATGATACAAACAAGTTTTGTTTGTTTTAAGTGATATATTCTTGTGGTATGAATGAGAAGTGCAAGGGGCCTCTTTGTGTGATTGCGTGATTGTGCTGTGAGTGAGATGGCAGCATCGCTGCGAAGCGAGTGTGGAGTTCTGATCCGCAGTTCCATATTCTCCATGAGGGGAGTGCCCGGAGATGAACAAAGCACATGACAGACTGAAAAGAAGTTCTGTTTTATCCAAGTGATGATTGGTGGTGCCCAATATATGGGCCCAGCGGTGTATCTTGTAATCCTATTTTTTGTTCTATCAGTTATTCTCTGGATACCCAGCTCCCTGAGCTGGTGGAAGGGGGTGGGGAGCAGACTGTGGCCCTCACAATCCATGAGGAAATGGTTGGTGACCTGCTACAGCACTTAGATGTATGCAAGTCAATGGGCCTGGATGGGATCCACCCGTGGGTACTAAGAGAACTGTCAGAAGAGCTGGCCAAGCCACTTTCCATTATTTATTGGCAGTCCTGGCTATCGGGGGAGGTCCCAGTTGACTGGCGGCTAGCAAATGTGACGCCCATCTACAAGAAGGGATCAAGGGTAGACCTGGGGAACTACAGGCCTGTTAGTTTGACCTCAGTGTCAGGGAAGCTCATGGAGCAGATTATCTTGAGTGTCATCACATGGCACTTGCAGGGCAACCAGGCGATCAGACCAAGACAGCATGGGTTTATGAAAGGCAGATCCTGCTTGACAAACCTGATCTCCGTCTATGACAAA